TCTGATTCATAGTCTCATACTCCTCTTTTGATCTCAAACCCCAAATGTCTTCAGCATATAGCAAAAACAAAAGATTTTTCTAATAATTTCGGAGTCTATTAATCACAAGCTGTGCCTGCACGTTAAAAATAGTTTATGAAACATTTACCATACTTTTTCCAACCAAGTCTCACTCAGTGTGTGTAGGCAGAAAATCTACAAATCACTGCGATATGTTACTGTGTTTATTTGCCAAGTTTTAACTTTTAATCAAATTTGGCATGAACTACAGCAGGACCAAAGACTTTTTCTATACATTTCTCTTTCTATATATTTAATTATATTTTAATTTATTTAAATAAAATAATTGAAATATAATTAATGAATTAATTAATTGAATATATATGAAGTTAAACCACAAACTTGCATATTAAGTCATGTAGGCCAGTCTTTATACATTTCACATCAAGGGCTCACCAATGTGTTTTTAACTTATTGCCACATATTGCTAAATCATTTGACAATTGTGGTATATGCCAATACAATGATAAAAATATTTTTTAAAAAGTATTATCTTTTACTTACTTTCTATTTTCTTTTAATTACGGCTTCGGAACTATCTTTGCAAAAGCCTTTCTGAGGCTCGATCTCAGGATGTCATATGCTGTATTGTTACCTAATGCTTTTATTTTTACTGTGTTTACGTAAAGCACTTTGAACTGCCATTGTGAATAAAGGTGCTATACAAATAAACTTGCCTTGCCTTGCCTAATATGTTATGTTGTCTGACTTGGCTACAAACCCATAACCACAAAAAAACCTCACTATAATCATGCTTACATGACCAGCCAAAACAGCAGAGTCACACTATGAAAATAAGCAGATGGCTCGATGGAGAAGACGCCTATTCATCACTGACAGCTTCACGGCTTGAGGAAGGCGATGCGGGTGGACGTGAAAATTCAAACAATAAAACTAAGTACAGCTATGCAGGCGTACGTGAGAAGAAGAATGGTGACAAGTGAGATCATTAACTGCACCTTCTAAAAACACTCTAGGGAGAGACACTTTAGAGTTTGTTCCCATACGGGACTCTTTTGGAATCTAGTACAACCTTTTCAGAAAGGAATCTTTTTAAGATCCTGCTTATCGCCAAAGTTTCCCCAAGACCAAATTTAAAAGGAGCAATGTGTTGTCTAAATGAACACCAGAAGAACTCTTATGTTCTGATCCAGTCATTATCAGTGAGACTCACTTAATGCCACTGCTACCTGATACTAGTGTTAGTAGTATATTTATTTAATGTTGGGGTGTACTGATTGTCCACATTTAAAACACACTTTTAATGCCATTTTCAATGAGCTCATCTGTGACAGATATCAAGTAGTAAGATCGGCAAGCAGACACACTTAGTAGTTACTAATAAACATGATAATAATATGATTTACTTCTGTAGTGGATTTCTACTTCTACTATTATACAATTACTACACAACTACTGCTACACTGTAAAATGTAACAACTGCACAATTTTTTTTGGGTTTACTTTACTCATCTGTTACACTTACTAATGCAAATCTAGTAACACATACTATTTCTTGTATAATCCTTAGTTACTTAGGTAAAGTTAGTTGAGATCAATTAATTTGCACAAGTCCCACAGACTGAAGAGTATTTTGCCTAAACACAACTTAGATTAGATTAGAAATAGATTAGAAGTTAAGACAACTTTAGAACTTTTTATTTAGCTTGACTTTACAGGTAGGCACAGACAGGGTTGGGTTTACATTCAAACGATTATGACTTCTTGTGCTTTTCATGTAACTTTTGACAACTTTGGACATTCAAATGGGATCTCTGAGTTGAATCAACCTCTTGCAATTTAGTTCAGTTTGTTAAGACTTCACAGCGTTACATCATGAAAGCCTGGTCAATGCAACATTGAGTAAAACTTGGATCATTCCTATTGGCTCTTGGTTGCACGCATATTGGGCGTGTCTTTCCACCTTGTTTAACCTACCATTTCTGTGTTCATTCTCCCCAACCTGCCTTCCCTTGGGTGCTTACTTGTTACGCATAGTCAAGAGATTTGAGTAACTTAAACTTAAATGGTTTAAGGCAATCGGTTTCCTTAAACCATTTACGTTCACTGAACTCATTAGGTTTTACAGTGTACTACCCCCACAAATATACTACTACCTACTACTACTACTACTACTACAATAAAGCTACTATAAATAGTATAACTATTACACAACTACTGTAGATTGCCACTGTCAGAACAAAACCTTGAAACTCCTTTTTTTAACAGAATTTGAAAATTACTAATGAAACATCTTGTTTCATTAACTTCCGTTTAAACTTAAAATGTTTTTTTTCCTTTTCTTGAAAAGTTACTTCAAAATATATTTCTGTTACTATACAACTACTATTACTATTACCGCGCTATATACAGTATGCAAAGTGATATTTTTTGTTGATGCTGAATGTGAAAACAAATACGCGTCTTCTACAGAGAGCACACCTCTGCTATTTACTTGCTTAATTTAAATAAAAATAAAAAATAAAACATGTGGTCTGGGCAAAACATTATGGCACATTTTATATTTTTTGTAGAGGATGTGAAGAGATTCACTTAAAAATTCAAAACAATATGGAATTTGACCACGTTGTTTAAACGTGTGCATACAACTGTATACTACTACTACTACTACTACTGCTACTGCTATTCAACTACTCCACTATATACTACTGTAACAGGGTTGGGTAGTAGTAACGGAACACATGTAACAGCTTACGTTATCAGGATAAAAAAAAAAATGCAACTGTAATCTGTTACAGTTACAGAAAAAAAGAGTAAGCAGATTCCAGCAGGATTACATTCAAGCTACATACAGGCAGAATTTATAGTCACTTTTTGTCTAAATTCACCATTTTTAATGATATCTTTGTCCCATGAATCATGTAGATTTAAGGTGTGTTTTATTTTATTTATTTATTTTTTTTTTACTTGGGGAAGAAGATGGGTGGAGGCCTCTGCTGTCAGCAGAGATTTCTGAAGAACTCCCTTCCCTCGCAGCAGTTCAGGGTCTTTTATTCAGCCAGTCAACAGAACTTTTAGTAAGCATTCTATTTTTGTCAGAACTGACATCTGCAGAGTTTTCCTGAATATATCTGAACCAGTCGTTTAACTCTGCTTTTACACCTCGCCAGATTCTGCAGCAGTGAACTAATCTGATCTGATTCTCTTTTGTTGCTCTATGAAATTCTGTAGTTTGACTAGTTATTTTGCAAACATTAACTCGCCAGATTTTAATGGTGAAGTGAGCTAACATTAACAAACAACTCTTTGTTTGTTTGAATTGTGAAGAGAGTGAAGTCTCGTGAGCGCAAGTTAGTAGTTTTGTTTTCACATGAATTATTTCTTCCTTTAATAGTTTTTGAATGATGGTAAAATGATGGTTTTGAATGATGGCAAAACATTAATATGCGTAAATGGTCATAGATGATCAGCTTCCTCTTAGCTTTTGTGTCAAATAAATGCCCTGTTAAACTTGTGGTATACGCTGAAGCCCATTTAGTTTTTAGAGTGGCATCTATTTGTAATTATTGTTGATTGGGAGTCTCAAAATAAGATTTCTGCCTGATTGATCTTTTGATAGCAGTCAACAGATTTTTTAACAAATAAGGCAAAATCACAGAAGAGCAGTACAGTTTTAAACTATATTGTATTTGAATGTTGAATTTCATGAAATAGGTCAATCTTCAGTGATTGCTTGTTTCCCTGTGTTCCCTTTTAGACTTCATTTTCCTGTCACTTAAGAGTTTTTTTTCTTGGGAGCTCGGCCATAATTTCTGAACTTTGTACCTTTTTCACTGCTCACAAGTGTACATGTACAAATTTGTCATCTTTATGTTTGAAGTATTTCCATATATTTCTCCACTTAGATTTGGCCATTTCACTAAACGTGAGACCAGTGACCATTTGTGTGAGGCACAGTATTTATATAACTTTATTTCATATATCACTTTGCTTCACAAAACAGTGCAGTTTTTGTGTTTGCTTTGTGTTAAGTTAAATTCTTGGTCAAAGAGTCTTGTTGAAATTATTTTTAATGACTTCATCTTTATTAATATATAATGTTTAAAAAGACAAGTCAAGTCAAGAGGCTTTTATTGTCATTCCATCTATGTACAAGTACACAGTGGAATGAAATTACGTTCCTCCAGGAACAAGGTGCAACAAGGAACAAAAAGTACAAAAGTACAAAATTACAAAGTGCGAACGTGCAGACAGTGTACAAACAAAAATTAAGCTAGAAAACAATACAATAAATACAATAAATTAAACAGACATTGGACACAGTAAACAGACCGGACAGTGTAGCACCAACACAGCACAGATTTCTGGACATGAGGTAGTGGAATAAGGTGCAGACATATATGTAACGTGATGTAATCAGATTACATCACTTTCATATAGTAATCATTTGGATTAGGTTACAGTTATATTTAACAGCTAATTAGTAATCTCTATAGCAATACTTTTTTAAAGTAACCCTGTATATTATACAACTACCACTACGTTATGACTACTATGTATACACACTACTACTACTACTACTACTGCTGCTACTACTACTACTCCACATGCTATTGCTACTATACAACCACCAGGACCATATATACAATACATATAACAATAATAATATGAAATTATCATTGCTATTATTAAGAATGTTACAAAGGAATTCACTCTTTACTATTACTGTTATTATTAATTTATTTTTTATTATAATATAAATAAAATCCACTCCCAGTTTCAGAGTTATTGCATCATGCCAGAGTGAAAGTGTGTGAGACACGCAATCAGTGACAAAGCATTATAGCCTCTGTGGACAGGCTTATCAGCCTGAAGCACGCAAACAGCTTCTCATGCAAGCCCTTTGTGCGGGGGAGGGAATTCCCTTTACACACACTCTCTCTCTCACGCACACTCCCTCATTCTTTCTTGTATAAATACACTCCTCTTTCCCCAAAGAGGGCCCACTCTACAGTCCGCAGTCCGAGAAAGCAGAGCATTCTGCAACAGGACCAACATGGCAGCTCCAGCCTCTATAAAACCCTTTGAGTCAAGAATGGACCGCGGCATGAAAATGAAAGACGAGGAAAAGCTGTATAAACGAGATGGAATTATCTACTCCACCATCATGTCCCCACCTGAAAACCTCAATGCTGTGAAGGATATGGAGGCCAGGGAGGATGATGTGTTTCTGGTGGCTTACCCCAAGTGTGGTGAGTAAGGCCTGTGTCACAAGAAAGGGACTTTTTAGCCTTTTTACCTGCTCTTTTGCACATCTGCACAAGCAGAGTAGCTCTAGTTATTCTGTGCAGGAAATACAGGGGTAAGGGGGAAAGCAGGATCAAGTTACATATTACATAATAGCTCTGGACCAATCAGCTGCTTACAGTTGTGCTAGCTGGTTCTTGGCTGTCTCTCCCCTCTAAAGCTCAGTTACACAAAGTTCATGAAAGTTCAATACTTTACTTAACCAACAGGTTGTCTGGAATGCATTCAGGTAATATATAAAGCAATTACAACACCATAACACTAAACAAGGGCAATGCACCTGAAACAAAGGCTTGTTAAAAACAATCAAAACACTGAAAAATAAATAATGTGCCAAGTGCATATAAAGAATGGTGTGGACTAAAATGCTGTGACTCATCACAATATGGACCTACAGTTGTATGGGGGCTTATTTTTGAACCTAGACTAGTGTGACAAGACCAGTAAGACCGTAGTCTTCTGCCTGAGGGAAGACCTTTCAGCAGGTTAATAACCACTAGTTTCCAATAGTATTTTCATTACTAGAGATTTCCACTTCCAACTTCAACAAGATGATCTGCAGTAAACTTTACTTGACTCGGGCATAATGTTTACTGTGGCTTCTGTTTTGTCCACAGTGCTGGTCATTATTTACATTTATGGTACAGATACTTGCAGAAACGGAGGAAATGACAGACCTAACACACCCAGCTAACACCCACCCACCGACACACAAACAGAGATATCACTGAACTTATGGTTTGTCTCAGGGTTCAACTGGATGGTGGCAATAGTGAAGAAAATCATGAATGCCTCTGCTGGAGTTACTGTCCCTGACAGACCCCCCATTATTGAATTCTACCCTCCACAACTCCAACAGGTTTGTAACTTCCATCTGTGATCTCAAAGTGCCCCAGAACATCTGACTGCCACTCTGGACTGCAAAAGTACATCTCTCAAGTCCAACCTTCAAGACCCTTACTTTGGCATAACTTACATTTTAGCTTAATTGTAGTTCTCATATAAGTGACCTATCCATGCTCCTCCCCTAAACGTATTCTTTTATTGCAACTGTTTCTCAGCCTTATGGCAAAGGTCCCTTTCAACTTATGCTGTATTTGGAATAGTTACTTATTCACTATTCGCTACTTGAACTGACTGGAGAGCGACCACAGAATGAAAGGAAGGTTATCTATAAAAATTTGAATAACACTATGATCTGGTGTACAGCATATATAGTGCACAATATCTCTAAAGGGGAGTGATTCTGAACACAGTTTTAACGAGAAACTGTACTACACAAAGTACAAGGTTTTAGTTGTCAGTGTGTTATAAATGTCATATATATGAAATGATCCACTGTGAGCGGACCATGGATAGATCACAACAATAAATCCATTAAAATTAACTGAAAAAGAAGCACATACAGGGTTCTAAGTGTTAATGGAATGGAATAGTGTTGCCTCCTGGTTATTTAATATCAAGCTTATAAGATCATTTTACAACTTCTACCACACAAGCTTTTATAGTTAGAGAGTTGTCGTAATGTTGGACCTTGAACTTTCTGCAATGTTTGTGTTGCAGGTTGTAGGGAAGGAGCCATCACGGAGACTTCTAGGAACACACCTTCCCCGTAATGACATTCCTGAGTCTTTTAAAGCCAAGAAAACAAAGGTCAGCAAGTATGACAAGACACTAGTTTCTATATAACTTAGAATCAATTCATAATATGCTCAGACGATTGTCAACCCCAAAAAAAGTTTTTAAAATTGTAACCAAGTCTTAATGCTAGCTGTCATTATGACTCAGCAAACAAGCCACTGAAGTGCTGCTTGACAGATGTGAGCAAGTTTAGATGTGTGATACAGGCCTAAAACATCCAACAATAATCTTTTTTCTTGTTTGCTGATTTATTAAAGTTCTCACAGAAAGATTTATGAGGACCAACAAATGGAGGTCTATTTACACACCAGTTCCAGTACAATTTTTCATGAAATAGTAAAAAGACCGTGCACTTCCCACATTAAACAACGTGATTTCCTGTTCCTGAGCACTTCCAGTATGTTTGACACCACCCTATGAGCAAACTGTGCATTACAGCATATTAACATACATTAATATGACATAAATATGCTTCTGCCACTAGCATCACAAATACTGTACTTAATCTCTACATGGCTGGGCCATCCATGTCTTTTGTCCTCAGATGTTGGTGGTTTTCCGAAACCCCAAAGACACAGTCGTCTCTTATTACCATTTCATGAACAAAAACCCAGTCCTGCCCAAGACTGAGTCCTGGGACAAATTCTTCTCTGACTTCATGGCTGGTGAAGGTGAGTACTCAAAAGTTTTGACTAACTATGCCCTGCACTACCATTCAATCATAGAGTACAATCAGCATATCGTTGCTGTTGTATCTCCAAAACAGTAAGTGTACAGTAGAAGCAAAAAAAAAAAGTTATAGGAGATACAAGGTTTTGTTCCAACAGTGACGATACAGACTTTCTTTGTTACCTGTTACCTCAACACAAAATATAATTGCTGTTAATGTCATACAGCTCCAATTAACTGAAAACATTCACAAAACCACTTTTGGTTCATAATTTTGATAAATTTTATATGCATCATATTTCAAATTAAAACTGAGTAGGGATGAAATGTTTACTGGTTTCACTGTAAACCATGGTGAAATCACTTACGGTTAGTATTAGCGTTACAAATTTTAATTCTCATTAAAACCATGATAGGTTACTGCACTTTGAAAAAACTCACGTTAAATACTGTCCAGCATCCAAAGTTAGCAACAGACGTAGGCGCACAGGCGCAGCATTCGACATGGGCTTGTTTTGACTGCGAAAACATGGTTGACAGTGACAGCACTCTGGAGATGAACATGCAGAATGAAAATCACTGCTAAAGAACACTGTTTAGAGCAGATGAGTCAGTTGGCCTGCTTTGCTGTCAGGTTTAACTAAACATTAGAAAATACTGCTATTTAATTTCCCTTCTTTAGCATTATGATATTCTGAAATAACCTACAAATTAGCCTATATTGTACCATATTAGCTCAACAACAACATGCATAAGCAGAATTCACTCTTTCCTTCATGCTTGATTTGTAATAAATAACACATCCTTAGCATCCTCACTTGTCTTCTTTACAAGCTAATCTTGAGTAGGTGTGTCAGTGTATGTGAAAATTTGCCTGTTTTCTGTGAAGTGGCCTGGGGTTCTTATTTTGACCATGCTCTGGCCTGGGAGAAACATATGGATGACCCTAATGTGATGATTGTGACTTATGAGGAGCTGAAGGAGGTAAGAGATCATTTTTGAGCTTGTCTATTTGTGTTAGCACATCAGGGAGAAATGAATGTGATGGCTCACGCGGTCATAATTAAACTTGTTTGTTGTAACAGATGAGTGCAAAGATCAACAGGAATCTTGTTTTGCTGGTCCAGTAGTGGCACAGTGCAAGCACACATTGTACACATTACACATTGCTTCAGAAATATGACTGAGCATTCACTGGTATGTGCAGACCAGTTAAAATATGCGGGAGGCTGAACTAAGGCACAAATAGAAGCAGAAAACAAGCAGTACAAATAGAAAAAGTGACCAGCTGAAGTGTGTAGGGTGTGTGTTAATGCTGGAGACCTCCTTCAGCCATCTCTTAAAGAAAGAGTTCATGCTTATTTTTAAAAATAATACAGTTTTTTCATTTTAGCCCAAGGGTCAAGACTTGTTGGTGTCTGATGGTGTCTGAGGTTAACTTCCTTGGTTCTGCACTGGAGCCACTAGGCTATGCAGCTAACATGGAATGCAACCAGAGAGCAGAGGATCTTTTTCGCAATTCCATATTCAATGCAACATAAGTCATCATAGTAGAGAAAACATTACAGCAGCAGCGGCGCTTACGAATGAGAATGTTGACGACTCACACATTTCTTTAAGTTACTTACCTAATTTTTCCATGAAAGATGTCATTCATTCGACAGTTTCCATTTTCAGAGAAGAGCAAGCTTAACAAGGTCTACATTAAAAGTAGGCTAGTGCTGCTTTGGCAATGGATGGGCAAGCAGTACAGATTTAAAGAAGGTAAAAAAATGTCTATGATCAAAAGAGAGAATAATAAAAATGAACAAAAGACAATAAGGTATAACTGACTACATTAACTTTATTCCCAACCTACACAACACTAACTATATTCTAATACACACTAGACAGCTAACTGTAACTGACCTCACTGGGCAGGTAATTCTTAAAGACCTTGCTGAGCTCACTCCTCTCTGAAAGAGAAAACTGCTCCACCAAACGAGTGACATCTTTTGTGGAAAAATTAGGTAATTATCCTAATATAGATGCAAAAATAAGCCTCCACATCAGAGACATAAGGAGGACTTTGACTACATTCTCATTTGAAAACGCCACTACTGCTGTAATGTTTGCCTACTATGACAACTTCTGATGCATTGAATACTGAAGCACAAAAATGGGCTAAATAATCACACTTGCCTCAAACTGCATTAAGTTGTTAAAGGAATAGCTCAGAAAAAAAAACAAACAAACACACCAACTACCATGATGTCTGATGTCTGTTAAGACATGCCCATTGAAGACCTTTCTTTTAATCATCAGGTGAAAAATGACCACTACATACATGAAGTTATATGGAGTGATCATTTTTCATCTGAAGCTGGATTCTCCTTTATCAGCTTCTTATTCAAATTTTCTGTTCCATCTTAAATGGTTCAGCAGTTACATTCCAGCATCTGTACAGGTGCCAAGATGTAACTGATGCACCATTTAAGGTAGAATTGAAAATATGAAGAAGTAGATGACGCTTCAGTGAAGATTTTGCATGATACCTTTACTAAATTGTACTCTTGCTAGTTTGTCAAAAGCCACATTTTGTTTTTTTCTGCATCATCAGTGAATTGGTGGTAACTTTTTGAATTTTGAAGTACAACACGTCTCTTGTGGTGCATTTTGTGAGTGGAATAGTACTACAATGTGGGACATTATGCAGCTGATAATGTAATTCAAATTTTAGATTAAATGTCTGAATAAAGTCTCTATGCCATTTTACTATATCATGAGGTAATTAAATTAAGATTTTGGCAAGTATTTTCAAAGATAAGAAAGGTGACAGTCTAAGTCCAGTGTCTGTTAGCAACGTTAGCATGGCACCTCCCTTTGTAAACTAAAGAGGCACACATCAGATATCAAACACATCTTGGTTGATCAACTATATCTGGTGTAAGTGACAATTACTATATACACTAATATTAATATTGAGCACAGACTCTTAAACTGAAAAGGCCTGTATGCAGGTAAACACTCTTATAGCTACATAACTTACATATTAGTTTTTCAGTCGTTATCAAATAGCAAATGGTAGTTACTGAGTATGAAGTTAATAACTGATCTGAACTCTCTCATTAAAGTCTCATGGCAACGAAACAAATATGTAGCTAATCTACCACCACATATGAAACTGACGCAAATCTGATTTGAAAAGATCAGATTTGCATGTTCACACAGCTCTAAAAATATCTGATCTACGTCACATCAAGACAAAAAAATGGATTTATGCCTGGTAACGTGAACGTAGCATGTGTGGTTTCTGACACTGTGAATTCAGGCTTTGGGAAAGCTGCTAATAGTGTTTTAATTATGTGACATAATTTTGTCCATGTTTATAAATAACAGTAGTCATTCAGTGTCAGAAATCACGTAAGCGAGTTTATTTGAGATTACTGGACAGTTTCATAATTTAGGCATGCAGTTTACTAATACTAACTGGTGGGCTACACTATTCTGTTATTTACATTAGCAACAACTTCCAGTACCAAACTAAAGAAACCAACTTAAGACATCAAACTTGTCTTGACTGATCAACTACAAAGGGGAAAAGAATAAGCGGAAGACTGAGTATATTTGCTTTTGGCTGAACTGTTCAAGTGTTTGGTTCTTTTCAGCTCTTGCTGCAGTGAATAATGCAAAAGCGCTCTTCTACAATGACACTGTGCCCTTCTCCATGTCTAGAACCCACCAGAGGGTATAAAGAGAGTTGCAGATTTCTTCAGCTTCCCCCTAACAGAAGAACAAGTCATGAACATTGCTAAAGAGACCACTTTCAGTGCCATGCTGGACAGCTCCAAAAATTCCCACGGCCAATTTGGAAATGTCTTCTTCCGAAAAGGTGAGTAAGCCATGAAAAGCTTTTCAAAAGTAAATGTGTCTGAAACACAGATAACTGTGATTAAGAAAAGTGCAGGACGATGATATATTTCGAACATACCAAACAAGTGTGGGCACTTCCAATGACTGCTATTTCTCTCTCAACCAGGTGAAGTAGGCGACTGGAAGAATCACTTCAGTGAGATTCAAAGTAAACAAATGGATGAAGAGTTTCAGAAGAAACTAGGAGGAACTAAACTGGGTGCTAAGCTGAAATATGATTACTACTGCCAGTAAATAAAGAACATTTGAGCCATGAACAGTATATGCTATTTGAACTACTAACTGAGGAATATGTAGAAAGACTGATTAAAGACAAATCATTTAACTCTGAAGTGCTTTGTGACTTGAAGTAAAACACAAGCTGCATAATGTTTTTAAGCATAGGATTTTATACACATTGCTACTAATCATGTTGAGTTTATTAATAAAAGATGAAATGCTTTAATGTCAGTCTTGATAGCATCTATTAAAGGACTATTCCAGCACTTCACCAGTAGATGGTGCAGTGGCTCTCAGAGAAAGAGCTTCTCATCTCTCACCCTTAGATACAGCCACTAGCTCTCATGTACAAATGATCCAGGTAATAAGATTTGCATACAGTTTACACTCACATGCTCTACTTACAACTCACTCATGCTCCGTCTTGGAATAGCACGTGAATATGAATTCTTGCCTAAACGTGGGATTCTAGATGAAATGTCATTATGGAGAGTCTTCCTCTTCCCGTCTCCATCCTCAAGAGCCTGCTCTCCAACCTAATGAAGCCTAATCAGGCCAGGGCCCCTGCAGTGCAAAGCCAATCAACAGGAGATGGACAGAACAGGAAGAGGAGATACTGAAGTCATTATGAATATGAACAATACAATAACGCAGGAAACACAGAAGTGCCATAAACAATTCAAAAACAAAACTGCTTATTTATTCACTAAAGAAAGACAATCAGACATAACTTCCCTTATAGAAATGAAATATACTATGTTGTTAGCCTGTTCCAAAATATATGTAGAATAAACTGTACTATATTATCAGCATATTACTACTGGGTGTGACTGAGGCTGGACTGCAAGATTGGCAACAAAAAAATCTCCATGTTGGTGCAGTTTGCAATCTAGCAAACAGTAACTCAAAAGTGAGCAAAATTGCATACTCATGAGAGTATACTGCAGTACACTGATCTGTAGCAAAAAAAATTTAGATAATTGCTGTAGTTGGCACCAGTGGGGTGACTTGTGTGCAGCTGTGGCTAGCCAATGAGCTAACATCACAGTTAGTAAGCAGATTAATTTGTGTAGACACAAACAGTTAAACCACAAAAATAATAATACAGTCTCCTGACTGACTGCATATTATACAAACCCAATTCCAAAAAAGTTGGGACAGTAGGTAAAACATAAATAAAAACAGAAAGCAGAGATTTATAACTCTACATTAACCTGTTTTTGAACAAAAACAGTACGAAGACAAATATTTAACATTTTCTCATCAACTTTTGCTTTTTGTACATATACATTCATTTTGAAATTGATGTCCGCAAAACATTCCAAAAAAGTGGAGATGGGAGAAATTTAAGACAATCTCTGTGCATAAAGGAAATGGCTGAAAACCACAACTGAATGCCCATGTCCATGTCAGCAAACGCTAGGGGTGGGTATCTCTAGGCACCTCACGATTCAATTATGATTCAGAGGGCTGTGATGCGATTAAAAAACGATTATCAATGCATCTTTTTTTTCTATACATGATTTCTATTTTCTTACTGTCTGAGGACTTGGAACTTTTAAAGCAAAGTATTTGTAATGATCCATAATGCATTTATGTCCAATACCAATAGAAGGCTCTCATTCACTGCTCTTGTTTGGAGACGCTGCTGCCACTCATCTGTGATAAAATGTGCTGTTACAGTGAAATAAGATCCTGTTATAATGGATGACCACGCAGCACATTATAGCCGCCCTACCCGTTTTCTTTAGTGATTTTATAACTTTGGTTTTGGTCTCGTGGTAGAGAGTGGTGGGAGGGGGTATCGTGGTAGAGAGTGGTGGGGGGGTATCAGGCCTGCGTTGCGCACGTCCCGTATCTTTGAGACGGTACATGCGCAACACAGCGTGAAAGCCCTGTTTCTCAACGACTGAGAATTGGCATGCAGACTGCACGTCACATAGCAACGAGGTTTCGCCTGGTTAGTAGCGAATGAAAAAAGAAAAGAGAAAGACAGACGAACATTTGGAGACGAACTGCATTTCTAAGCAGCGCAGTTGGTTTCCTGATACGTTAAATCTGCAACGAGAGACTGTCAAACACTAAAAAGTTGCAAAGATGAAGTCGCTTCTCTTTCTAATTTTCCCGGTCCACCTTAAACGGTGCCGCATTTACATTCAGCACCTCAGTCAGAATTTAAGGTGGAACGGTTAAGTTCAGCAAGAAGCTGGCGAATGAGAAGCAATTTCAGCCTCGTAAAACAGCCGAAAGCTGAAAGACATTTTACAAGAAACTATTCAACTTTTGAGGAAAAGTTTTCTGGTGGAGATGGAAGAAAAGCAGCTATAGCTAAAGCTTAAAGCAGAGTAGAGTAAGTCCGCATTTTCGTTTATATTGTTTAGTCTATACTAGGACATCAGGACATACTGAGACATACTGGACATCAAATGTTGTGGCTCCCAAGGTGGTTTGATTTTTGTTGAAAGGACAAAATGGCTCTTATCATCATTTGGGTTGTGACTCCTGACCTAACCTGGCTTTTAATGCAGAGGGTGCTCATCCCATTGTGTTTTTGTCATGTGCCGCCACAGACTGTCCGGGACTGTTCCGCCCTTTGCGTTCCGTCAACATTACGTTATAAATTAAATATTTAGAAAATCATTTTTTGACACTGAATGAATCGATTCAGAATCGTCCACGTCCGTATCGCGATGCATCGAAGAATCGATTTTTTCCCCCACCCCTAGCAAATGCTATCCGTTGCTGCTTCCACAAATGCTTAAGACCAGTGTCAGGTTGTTTAGGTGTTCTTCTGTCACAGCTGCCGACTGAAAAGCTTGCTCAGTAGTGAAGAGAGTTTCAGAATTTAGTATAAGAAGCTGGACAACAAACTGCTGGCTGTGCAGCGAGTGAGCGGAGTTCGTTACTCTGACGTAGCAACAAGCTGCTTGTTAAGGAACTATAATTTGGCGGAAGGAATTTGCTAATGTTAAAACATTAAATGCCACGTTCACGGTCCAATTTATTTATTTCTTGCGTTATTTATTTAACTGTTGTATAAAAGCAATGGAACACTCGAGGTTGTGTGTTATCGCGAATAACATCACGGCTGTGATGATCTATGGCACTCGCCTTCCCTTTCATGTGTTTATTTACAGTCTACACAGCCAAAGCAGTCACGCTTTTGCTCAAAGATGGAAGTTGAGCTAGATGCAAAATTTTGCATAAAAACATCATTTGCCCTTGGAGTTTGGGATGTGAAATCACTCATCATGGTGAACATAACTGAACTGAAGGTAATTTAGCTTGTGAGATTTTGCTGGCAAATTTTAGTGTGTCTGGACCTTAAGCCTGCTGTTCAAAAGGTTAAACCTTTAATTGCAACATGCAACACTACCACGTTGCTAATTTGCAGCAATGTTTACATAGGGATATTATTTGGTTAAATTCATGATACGAGTCTTGGAGAAATGCATTTTCATAGAAATGTGCATCATTCAAGGAGAGAACAGTCAAGTAGCTTGAGATAATTAGCTTTTGCTAAATAATGAGGAGGGGTATTTCAAGAAGACAAGCTTCTTCAATCATTCGTCCATTTTAGATGAAGAATACAGGCCACTTGCTGAGACCCTCACACAAATGAAGACTCTGACTCATCAGCGATGATGAGAGAGAGCTGCTATATTAATGAACGCTGGGCTCACAGTGTCACGTCGAGGTCAGGGACTCGACACCTTTGGGTGAGAAAAACCACAATCCCATAAACATCCAAACACATGACAGTTGTGAAATGCAATTTGATTAATTGCCTTTTAATTAAATCATTAACCTTTGCTTTGTGGGTTTTATTTTATTTTATGGAACACTACATGCTCCTATTTGTCATCAGGTAAAAAAAAAATACATCTTGGTTTTGACATTTTCTCCACAGGCCAGCTTTAAAACAGCAAAATCTGAACTGGGATTAGTGCAACTGAAGTATAATGTCACTTTAAGAAAAGACAATTTATCATGTCTTTGCCATCTTTGCAGTGGTCATCAAGGTCAAGATATAGCAATATATCAGAACTTTGAAAAAGCCATTTTGCCAGGTTAGTGATGTTATGGTATGAAATGTCAAATGGCTGCCCTTTTCCCCAGCGATGTGCACGGGATTAGGATTGAGCTACTCTGTTTGTGTTTGTGATGTTGGTAAGCGGCCCAATTCCTTTCATGTCACTCAGAGACGTTGCACGGCAAGACTGTGAGGCAAAACAGAAAAAGCAGCTTCATTCACAGCACGCTGGAGAGAGGCTTTTTCTGTTCAGTGGCATCACAGGCAAGCCTGTGTATTAATGAAAATGCTTTCTGGGGTTGCCAACCCTCAGGCCTTGAGACTGAAGGATGGACACGTGAGCTTGTGGGAAGTGAAAAAGGTGACAAGTTCAGACACCAAATCCTTGTATGGGTCTAGTGGCTTGTCCTCCAGGAGAACATTTTAGTGATGTTAGCATAGAAATAACAACACTCTGGTGCACTCCGAGAATAAAATACAATGAAAAAAGTTAAAAACTCATAAAAAGTAATGTCAAAAACTGTACTGCTTTCCAGAAATAATTTCACTTTCGTTAAAAAAACGATTGCTTACTATACCAAGATCATAAAGTGTGTATAAAATGCATACAAAATTGTGCATAGAATTTCACAGACATCTCCTGATTCTGCCCATCATCTGTGTTCTATCTGCTAAAAGCCTATATGTCTGTCACAATTGTTATATAATTGCCTGATTGGAATTATTTTCCACAGTTGGTAGTATTCACATTTAAATGTTTACTATACAACTAACAGAATGTGAATTTGGCATGTTTTCATCAGTTGGGCTGAGGCTAAAAGACAGAACAGAAAATATTTGTAGAAACAGCTCACGAGTTTTATGAAAACAGCAACATTTCTAGTGCTATAACACTTTTAAAGGGCAGCAGTGAATAATGCTTGTTTATTTGAACTCAAGCTGTTTCTGTTGTCAATAAGGACCTATGAGGTATCAACAGGAGACAAGATACCTTATCAGTCATTCTTGCCATCTTAGGAATCAACCTGTTCTACTTCACTGGCTGTTTACGTGCAAAGATTTCTGCCAATCCA